CTCTCTAGTAAGCACCTATCAAGACCCCAGCAACCACCCAGAACACCCAAGCAACTGCATAGCAACAACACAGAAAACCCAGCAGTAACCACCCAGAACACCCAAGCAACTGCATAGCAACACAAAAAAACAGTAACTACCCAGAACACCCAAGCAACTGTGTAGAAAGCACCCAAAATGCTCTAGTAACTGCATATCAACCCCTCAGAACGCCCTAGCAACCACATAGGAAACACCCAGAACTCTCTAGTTAGCACCTATCAATGCCCCAGCAACCACCAAGAACACCCTAGCAACTGCATAGCAACCACAGAGAAAAAAAATACAGTAATCACCCTTTCTGGGTCATCGCTATGCAGTTGCTTAGGGTGTTCTTCTTAATGGTTGCCATGCAGTGGTAGCTCCTAGTAGCAACTGCCTAGCAACCACCCACAACACTCTAGCAACTAGGTTGCTATACAGTAGCTAAGGTGTTATGGGTGGTTGCTATGCAGTTCCTGGTAGCAGCTGCATAGCCACCACCTAGAACGCCCAACAACTGCATAGCAACCACAAAATTGCTGTTGTATTGTAAATTAACGGCTAAAATACATAAAAAGTGTTCTGTGTTTAGTTGAAAATGGTGCTGTATAAATGCCCCCTAAGGTACACTATTCCTATAAACACAGAAATGCACTGTTATGATCAATGTGATGACATCAGAATGGAATCTGAATAAAAAAATTAGGTCATACTTTAGTCTATATATGAAAGAAACAACAATTTTTCATAATAATGATTCTTGTGAGCACAGCAGAATGCTGTAATTCAGCCTGAAATAAAACACACACAACTGCACAAAAACATGAGCATGAGAATAGCTGTATGACATATATTTCATCATCCAGAAACACATGCACACACGCCTCCTCTCTCTTTATAAATAGGCACTGTGTGCTCTGATGGGACACCCAGAAATCCTAGAGTTCACTCGTCTCTCATGAACTCATTAAATCCAAAGACTCTGAAGAGCAGAGCACTAGTCAGACACTGTAAACACAGGAGAGCTGACAACCATCGCCATTACACATGTATTACTATTAAACTTTGGCGTGTTTAAACTGTTTATGTTATTCCTCTAATCATGTGAGCAGAACCACCCAAAATACCTTAGCAACTGCATAGCAACCACCCAAAATGCCCTAGTAACTACATAGCAACCATCCAGAAAAAAAAGTAATCACATTTTCTGGGTTGTTGCTATGCAGTTGCCAAGGAGTTCTGGGTGGTTGCTATGCAGCTCCTAGTAACCACTGCATAGCCACCACCCAGGAACACCCTAGCAACTGGATAGCAACCACCCAGAAAACTCGGTAATCACCCAGAACGATCAAGCAACTGCATAGCAACTACACAGAATGCCGTAGTAACTGAATGCCCTAGCGACCACATTGCAACCATCCAGAAAACCCTGGTGATCACCCAGAATGCCCTAGCAACTCCATAGCAACCAGCCAGAAAACCCTAGTAATCACCCAGAAGGCCCTAGTAACTGCATAGCAACCTTCCAGAAAAAACAGTAATCACATTTTCTGGGTTGCTCCTATGCAGTTGCTAAGGAGTTCTGGGTGGTTGCTATGCAGCTCCTAGTAGCCACTACATAGCCACCACCCAGACACACCCTAGCAACTGCATAGCAACCACCCAGAATGCCCTAGTAACTGAATGCCCTAGCAACCGCATAGCAACTAGCCAGTAAACCCTAGCAATCACCCAGAATGCCCTAGTAACTGCATAGCAACTCTTCAGAATGCCCTAGCAACTGCAAAGCAACCAGCCAGAAAACCCTGGTAACCATCCAGAATGCCCTAGCAACTCAAGAGCATCCAGCCAGAAAACCCTTGTAATCACCCAGAACGCCCTCATATCTGCATAGCAATCACACAGAATGCCCTAACAACCACCCAGAACATTCTAGCACCCACATAGCAACCACCCAGAACACCCAAGTAACCACTTATCAATGCCCTAGCAACCATTTACAAAAAATATAGAAATTAAAGGGGTCATTGGATGGCTGCTACATGCACTTTTACAAGTTGTTTGAACTGAAATGTGTGTTGGCAGTGTGTGTACACAATCACCCTATAATGATAAAAATCCACCCAGTGGTTTTTTTTAATCTACTAAAATCTATACCCCTTTCTCAAATCGAGCCGATCTCAGATGCCTGTCTGTGTGATGTCACAAAAACAGGCCCCGCCCACTATAGTTTGATTGACAGTAGCGTTTCAGCACAGACTGGACTGGTGTCTTACCTTAGACCCGCCCTGAGTGAGCTGTCATCAGCCCGCCATCAGACTCCTAAGCGATTGAGGTGTTCTGTTGTTGGATGTAATAATGAACATAGCAGTCGTCATTTACTCCCAACATCTGAGCCGCTGAAGACGCAGTGGATTACGTTTGTTTTTGAAGGGAATGTGCCCCCGATCTAAATGCGCAGGGCTCGCAAAATTTCAAAATCGCTGGTAGCCCTTCGGGCAGACATTCTTCAGATTTTGGTAGCCCAAAATGAATTTAAGTAGCTCGAATAATAAAAAAAAAAGACATCGGCTGAACTTCACTGCGGACAAATCAGCATGATTAAAAACTTCAGTGATTGCTTTTTTTCTTCAAATAACAAGTCAAGAGAGTAGGGGTGCAATGGATCACAAAACCCACGGCTCGGATCATATTGCATTATAATATCAGATTTTGAGTAACAGAACGGGTCATTTTGCAGATGAGCAAAAAAAAATATGGTTCTTTATTAATTAAATAACAGAATACTTCTTTGATACCACAGCAAAAACTATAAACTATATGAATAGCATATAGGGATTAGGGATGTTCATTTTAACCGTTTAACCGGTTAACCGTCAAACCGTAAAACCGTAAAGAACCGTAAAAAGTCATTTAATTATTTATTTTTTCAGTAATTTATCAAAATATTTAAAAAGGTTATATAGCCTAGCTTTATTATGTTTTTCTCCGCTGGCAGAAGCGCTGCAGGTGCGTGATATGAAGACCATGTGAATCCTCATATTCTGTTGTTTGCTGCTTTTTGCGCATGTAAAATTAATCAAAACAAAACAAATGTTAGTAATTGTCCTAGCTAGGGATATTCATTTTAACCGGTTAACCGACGGTAAGAATTTTGACCGATTAATACAATCCATTAAACGATTTAAAAGTCATTTAATTATTTATTTTTTCAGTAATTTATCAAAATATTTAAAAAGGTTTGCTGCATGGTTAAAATAACCTACGCTATTAAAAAAATAGTTTTTTTAAGGGGGAAAAATATAAGTCGCGAACAAGTTGCATTTTATTGTTTCATTCAGAAATAGGCCTAATGCCGACGCAAAATGTTTACAAACATTATAATAAACACTGTAAACATAGCTAGGCTATTTTA